TCAACTTAGTTGCCATCGATGTGAAAGTTGTAGTAATCTGTTACTAAATAGAGCTTATATCTTACAACCGTCTTCTAAAGCAGCTCTACAACCATATTTAATAGATATACACCACATCAGCTGAATATTACAACCTTATGTTACTAGATATAGTTAATGAACGTAATATTTTAACTTCCTTTAAATACTGAACATAAGTTGAATATTACAACTTTCTGCACGTTATTCTGCTCATTACGACATTTTGTTAATAAATACAACTCATAAACCTTACAATCCAACCTTCTGTTGCAACGTACAACTCATAAACTGAATGTTATAGCCACATAAGTTGAATATCACAACCTTTTGTTACTAGATACACTGTATAAATTGAATATCACAACCTTTGTTACCAGATACACTGTATAAATTGAATATCACAATCATTTGTTACTAGATACACCATATAAATTGAATATCACAACCATTTGTTACTAGATACACCATATAAATTCAATATCACAACCTTCTGTTACTAGATACACCATATAAATTCAATATCACAACCTTTTGTTACTAGATACACCATATAAATTCAATATCACAACCTTTTGTTACTAGATACACCATATAAATTGAATTTTACATAAACTGAATGTTACAACTTTTATCCAATTTATCCAAATAATTTCATTATTACAAAAAACAAAGCTCACCTCGTGTAATTTCTACAAACTAAAGAAATAATAATGAACTGCAAGGGATTTGAACTGGTAATATTTTCACATGAGTTGTGTGTGTATAATATATTACACAAACAAAAACATTACCAGAACACGTGTTGACAAAAGAGTTAGTTGATGCCGTTAGTTATATTTTCAAACATCAGGCACCAGTGTAAAAATGTGCGCTATTTAATTTCCACAGCGACTAACCAACCACTTCTTGTATGCCACGAAGTACTTGCTTGGAGCTTAGTATAAACGTGAGAGATAAACGCCGCCTTAAAAATGACCTGGATGCTGATTTGGGCCCTGAGGCTTAGACAAGGCCGTGCGTTTCAGGTCACACAGTCTCCTCGCTGAATGTATTTATTGGTTGAGCAGTGCTCGTTCTCGTACAGCTCAAGCTACATATATATATATATATAGCTCGAGGCATGAGGTCCACCAGAATTGTCTCCCAGTGAAACGACCTTCCATACGGTGGCTGTAAGATCACTTTCGATGTCTTATTATTAGGCCATTTCTCATGGCTGACACAGAGGTGAAAACAAATGTATATATATATATATATATTTATGTGTACGAATGCTTAAAAACGAACTTCTAGATAACGGTTACGTTCAACTGTCACTCCTGTATATCAAAATTAAAATGACCAACCGTCTAATAGCTTCTTTCTTTGACTTGTAA